CATGGCAGAGATATAGTGAAAGTGACCCAGAGAAACCACGGAATATCCGAAAAGACCAAAGACATAGAATTAATAAACAACCCATGAAACCATCAGACGCGTTGAAAATCCCAAGCTCAAGCACAGTCGAGGGATTCCAGCCTCGGTGTGCGTGTATCCAACCAACGCATGACTAAACAGCGAGTTCCAAACCGCAGCTCCGAAATCAATCCTCTCCCGCACCCTCTGCTGCGAAAAAAAGGGGTAAAGAGCAGGAAAAAAAAAAAGCTCACACCCCACTGCAAACGCGGTCCAAACCACGAGAGTCGCGACCCACGGCACACACAGAGAGGCAGGCATGAGGGGTATATACATACACACGCACGCGCCCGGAGCTCGGCCCTCCGAGCCTTTGAAAGTCGGCGAGGGGAGGAAGGCTGAAAGCTCGGTGAAATCAATGCCTTGTGTTTGGCTGCGTCTCCACGGGGTTGTGCGCTTGCAGAGAGAGAGTAGGGACTCTGTTCGCTCCTCGTAATGTTGTTTCCGAGTTTTCACGGTGTGTCTATGGGTGTGTGTGTGTCTTTACCAAGCGTACTTGACGTTTGTGGTGGTGGATTTTCGAGCTTTTCACACAGGTAAAATAGTGTCCATCGCAACGAACTGTTTAAAACAATTTTTTTTTTAATAAGGTAGATCGAGAGCAGCAATACAGAAAAAAGACACAAAAGTTTGAGAAGCTGGGTCGGAGTTTTATCTTCTCGCGAACCCCCAAAGAAAGAAAGAAAGAAAGAAAGAAAGAGATGGTCCATAGAGAGCGGAGAGAAAGCCATAGCGATGGAGATAATGGAGGGGGCAAAGTGCGCCGAGGAGATTCCCAAATAGAGAGGGAAGGAGCGATCAGGGCTATTATACGCTCAAGTAGTCTCGCGACGCCTTCGCCCCCCCCCCTACCCCACCTGACCTCAACAACAGAGTAATCCTCGCGTGTTATCGGACTAGAGGCTTCGAACGCTTGCGCTACCTACTCTCTCTCTCTCTCTGTCAATCGCTTTGCGTCATTTACTCTACGCGTTCACCGTGAGCTCGCCAAACGCGACTTTCTCCTCAACTCTCCGACAAAGTAAGCATCGGTTGGGAAAAAAAAAGAAGAAAAAATTGTTCTCAAAATCATTTATAAGCCCCTCTCTAATAAGCGCGGGTCCGGTGACACGATCCTCCATCCCCGGGGTATCCCGTATCCCTGGCTGTACGTAATATACACCTCGTTATCCCGAAATATTTCCTATAGCTGGAAGGCAAACGACACCGCTCGTGACACTTTTCCCCCGCCCCTTGACGATACCATGGAGCGGAGGAGGGGGGAGAGAGAAAAAATGAAGAAACCAAAGACACCGTGTGGGACGGAGGAAAAATTAGCCGTCGAAAACTCGTCCGTACAGCCAGTGGAGGTTCCCACTTACTCGGAGAGCCGTCGTGCGGCAAAAGAGAGCCGAGCGCGCACACCACCGGGGCTATTTCACGCTCCACTCGCTCCGCTCGCACCCCCCCGCGTCCTCTTCTCCAAATCCGTCGCCCCCTTCGCCCCTCTTAAGAATTAATTCGAGAGAATCGTCGCTATACGCCGTGCGGGGCATGGGGGAATCGCCTTTCTCACCCCCCACCCACACGCATCGATGGGACTCTGCCTTTTGTGTTTTGTACACGTGCGGCCGCGTGTCTTTTATTATAAGCGTCAAGTGTTTTTGTTTTCGGGCTCCCTGGTCACTCGCGCCGATTGGCTTTGCTCGACGCGTGTCTGGGATAACCCACTTGTTATTGTTGCACGGAGCTTTTGGAATTCGTTGGCATCATCCTTTTTAGAAATCTCTCTCGTCTCGGCCGTGAATTTTACAAGACGAAGAGAATACCCCGTAAAATTAGATGCGAGAACGATCGCCAATCCTCGAGGAGTTTTTCGTTGTTGTAGGAGACACCATATAGTGTGCTTCGCGGGGAGCGAAAAGCTCCAGAGGGGGAAGAGGAAAGAGCGATAAGGGCGCTGGGAGAAAAGAGACGCCTAATCTCCGTGAAGCAGAGGCTCCTTTTGTCTCCCTGCTCCCTCGTCCCGGAGTGCCGATAGGAATCGCATCCCCTGACATCCACCGCTCCATTCGAAAGCTCTGCGTATATATATATATACACGTTTGTCGAGCTTTTTTCCGCGGCGATGCGCTTTTTCGATCTCCGCGCGATTGCTCGGTCCAAGGATGATCTGGTTCTGCAGCTCCGTTGAGTTACAATTTTCACTTCGAAGTCACTTTACGTTTCCTCTCGGGCTTTACAGTAGTTTTTTTACCTTTTTACCGTCTCTCTTCACAAGACTATTATGTAGAGTAAAGTCAATTAGAAGCTCATATGCGAATAAAAAGTTTGGATGTAACCTTGTAAAGCATCTTACTTGAGGGTGTGATCGTTCGACTCAACAGCGCAGTTGGTAGAGCAAAGATTTTGTCAATCAAATGACACAAGTTGTGGTTCTTGTGGTCGTACTGCAAAAGAAACGACTCGAAACTGACGATAATATCACAAGCATCAAGTAAGAAAATGTAAGGACAAATTTTTGCTAGCCCTCGCCAATATAGTTGAAATTTATACGAGCTTCGTGATTGCGCTAAGCAATAACCGGTAAATCTGATTTTTTTTTAATGTGCCATCAGCATGTAGCATTTTCGTATAAAAATCTGCACACAACGCAGCCCCATGTAATACTTACTTGGAAAAAACGCAGTAAAATTGGCATCGAAATAATGGCCATGACCGTTCATCCAAATTTCCAATGTAAAACCAGCTCGCCTGCAGTGCCCGAGTTTGGCCAAAGCCACGAAACCCGCCTCGTCGAGCTGCAAGAACTCGAAAATCCCGGGATCCCCACCTCCCGCCTAAATACATAAAACCCCAATTTGCAGTTCTTCGGTTAGCGGGAAACCGGCCATCCGCAGAGTCCACCCGACCCGAAAGAGAGCCCAACTTTGGGATTCCCTGTGTCCGCGGGCAAACCGTATATAAGTGCAAACACGCGCGCATCGGGAGCTTCTAATTTCGTCACGAACACGGGGTACACCGTCAAAGCGAATCCGCGAGCAGTTTTCCCTAGCTGGGCTCGACTGTCCTCCGCGAGTTGAGCGTATCGGCTCCGAGGGAGCCTGTGCGCGGCCCCGTTTGTCCGACCCCACTCGTCCGACTAATGATCAGAGAAGCACTCGCTAAACGCCCCTTGCAAACACAGCGCGGGATTACCGCGGGCGATTAAACGGGCCCGAAATTGCGATGGCCCCCCCTTGGACACGCCTCGTGGATTTCAACACCGGGGTGCCGGATATGCGACCGCGTGACGGCTGCGGGGAGGAGGGTATTTTCGTCTCGGGTGCATGGGGAGTGAAACACAGAGACACCTTTTGTTGGTTTCGTTCGTTTAATCAAATCAATCGTCTATAAAATATGTCTTTTTTTCTTCTCCTCCTCCTTGCTATACAAATATAGTAATGGCAATCGTGTATGATGCCAAATAATCGATGGAGTCGCAGTGAAATTAGGATAAGTTTTTTTTTTTTTTTTTTTTCGCACATAGGTACATTCAGCGCAATTAAATCGAGGGAAATCAAACATTACATCATATGTATGTGCCTTTTCGTGTCTCAACAATGAACAATGTCATCTCGAAATAATAAGCTCTCGTGATCAAACGTATGTGCACAATCTTAATATTTACAATGTTACAAGTGCATAGGGTGCGTTTGTTAAACGTATGAGCTATTTTACAAAGGTTTCGTATCGATTTCAAAGTTTATGTATATTTACATACACTTCAAGATTTTATTAATTACATGTTGATTAGACTATTTTGATTTCATAGAAATGTATCTTTCATTTTAAATATTCTCAAGTTTTTGTAATATTATGATATTTTGCGTTAAAAGGATGACGTTGTTTTGTTACCAAATGTTATTAACAAAATGTTGTTTGAAGTGAAATCTTTGTCAGATCTTTCGATAAATCAAAGTCGATGGAGTATGAAACATCAAGGCCGAATTTGTTAAAATGATGTTCATTTCTACCAAATCAAATGGAGAGTTGGAGAGGAAGAGTGTGAAAAAAGCTGGTGATGTTTTTATAGTCTTAATTACAGTGTAGGTGTAGAAGGGGATTAAATTACACATTCAACACGTGATCCTTTCAAGCGCATTTTTGGCGTTTTTTTTTTTTTTTGTTTTTTTTTTTTACAAAGGAGAGAGAAACGTAGATAATCACAGACTCACGCGCTCGTCGCTCGAAAGTGACCGTCCGCACGAACACTAAAATAAAAAATAACTGCATCATCTTCCCGATGGCTTGATCGTCGCTATAATGATAAATACACTCAAGCGCGACTCTCACCATTTGGCCTTTTCTTTCGCAAGAATAAGCCGAGTCTTTGAATCGTTCGTACACCTATAAGCGCATATTTTACAAACAAAATTGTTTTCTTTTTTTTTTTTTGTCTCACGAGTATATTGTATGTATAATATTTGGTGTATTTATAATTTTTGCTTAAAAAGCTATAGTTTTGCCAGTCGATCGATTCTCGATTCACAAATTGTCCAAAGTAATTCATAAAGAGGCCTCCACGTGGTGCAATATGCCGCGAGTGGATCAAGTTTTCACCGTTACGATTACGTGTATGGCTTGAAAAACAAATATAGGTACCCATATGACTTATTGCACATTTGTCACGCAAAATCGAACAAACAAAAAAAAAAACAAAAAAAATGTTTCCAATCGCGAGCTCTCCTGTACCCAATTGTATGGATTAAAATCGTCCCAAGGCCCAAGGTAACCAATAATAGTAATAATAAAAAAAACAACCCCACTGTCACTCGAACCAGTCGCATCCCTCCGGCACTTCCCACACTATGTACAATTTAATCACCAACGCCATGCACAACGACAGTTCACTCCTTGGACTTGGCCCAACCGGGCACGACGACGCGCACAGCTTGGATACGCTACGCGTGGGGGTGCCCGTGCGAGTGCCCCGTCCCGGAGATGGTGGCGGCAGTCTGGCTCAAGCCCAACCCGGCGCTGCTCGTCGGCGTGGCTGCCTGCGGCGTGGCCACCCCCACCGAGACCGGGGTCGTGGGTGTCAGGTGGTGACCAAAGAAAGTAGGTCCCGAGGGTGGCCCGTAAGGTGGCCCGTGGTGGTAGTAGCCCGGTGGGGGTGGAGGCCCGTGGGCATGGTGCACGTGGGGGTGAGGATGGACGTGGGGATGCGCGTGGCTGTGGGGGTGGGCGGCGAAGAGGAAGGCCGGGCCGTAGGGGGTAGGATGGGGCGGGGTCGTGGGCACCGTCGGGCTGTTGACGTCGAGGCCCGGGTTCTGCTTCTTCCACTTGGTCCGGCGGTTCTGGAACCATATTTTGACCTGCGTCTCCGTCAGGGACAGCGACAGGGCGAGGTTCAGCCTCTCGCACACCGACAGGTACCTGGTGGTCTTGAACTTGTTCTCCAGGGCCACGAGCTGCTCGTACGTGAAGGCCGTTCGGGCTCGCCTGGGTTTGCCCCCACCACTGCCACCACCACCCCCACTGGTGCCGTTACTCTGGCCCGACTGATTTTGCCCGCTCGAGGAGGACAGGGAGCCGGACAGGCGCTTCTTGTGATTGTTGTTATTCGTGGTGCCGTTGGCGCTGCAGTTGGACGACGTGGAAGCGTTGCTGTCGTGGACGAGATTCGAGCCATCGTTGTCGGGCTGGTCCGAGGCAGTGGTGCGAACGTCGATGTCGTCGTCGTCGTCCTCCTCTAGACCGTCCTCGTCCACGTCCATGTCGAGGTGGTCGGGCGTCCCCGCTTCGTCCTCTTGGCCACTGGCGTACTCGCCTCGCGAGTCTCCATCTGAAACAACCAAACGAGGAATTCTTAAAAGGAAAAAACGAAAACAATAAATAAAAACTACTTTTTACTTTTGGCAACCTAATAGTGGCCATTTGATTACTGGACAGTAATATATAGTAAACATCAGTGTAGGTACTTGTGATAAAAATTGTAAAAATTGAACATTAGCTGATAATCATTCCATCTCGAGGGTAATGTTTGTCATTGGGTTTAAGTACACAAGCGCAACGAGGAGCAATGAAGATCAAGGGATGATTGCTCAATCGCCGTTTCCCGGGTGATGTAATCATAAAAGTTTCCGGCAAGCCAAAGGGGTCGAGCCGACTTAATCCCCTTCGAATCGATCGCCCTCATTTCCCACCCATTAGCGGGCAAATTGAAATCAAAGCCGAGCTCAGCCGAAACCACCCGATCCCATCGAATCGAATGTACACGCCAATCGACGATTATACGCGTACATCAATCGACCACTTCCGCGCAAGGACCGTATATAGACAACAGTTGGAACCTGTCCCTCTTTTCTTACGTGCTCTGTGTGTACACACGCGCAACCTCCGTCACGGGGATACGGGATGGAGCTCGTGTATAGGAGATTCAATCAGTGCGCGCAGATGTCCCGGGGTACATTTATTCCCCGAGTCTCCGAGGGGTCGTCCCGACACGCGACGCCTACACATGTACACCAACACTTAGGAATGGGACCATACGAGCGGCAAACCGACGGCACACAAGCGGAGAAAAAGAAGCTGGGCACAGCGTTAAAAAGCCAAAGGAGACCGGGAACGCAGATTACCCGGAATATCGACGTGTATGCACGTGTCCATTCTAGCGAGGGTACAAGTGTGTGGGGAGGCTCTTTATAGAAAAGAGCGAGCGAGTGTAGGTTCGCGACGTAATGGGATTTGTATCTCGTTAGCGCGCAATAGCTCTTGTGCTCCTCCATACACGTGTGTACGAGGTCCTGCAACGCCGTGTCCTCTTTTTCCCTCTTCCGATACGCGCTTTGCTTCTTTTGCATTCTATTTTTTGCCTTTTTTTTCGTCCTTCGAGCTTCTACCCGCGTTCCGGGGGAGTCTTTGTTCCAAGCTCGGGCTGATTATACACCTGGGCGTCGATTGATTGCTTCTAATTGACTTGCGTAATGTGGACACCATCCGGACTCTCGTTCTCATCTTTTTTTTTTTTTTTATTTCCCACAGAGGCGTTGTTTTGTTTTGTATGCCCCCGATACGGGGATTTTCGTTGAATTAAATTTTTTTTTTTTCACGAGATACGAAACTTGATCAAACGAAGTTGTTATCCGGTGTACGATGCTCCAACGGGTAAACTATTCGCCATAGTCACGAAAACACGCCATGGACGTTTTTGAAGATGTACAAGGTACGGAGGGGAGGAGAAGAAACAGATGATTGCCCGTAACTCAAGTTTTCGCGATTGTCAGGGGGACGAAAGCATCATCCCCGCCGCGTAATATCCAACCACGGGCGTACCCTCGAGCTATAATTTGTAATTACGCGCGCAAAGTGGATGTAACCTCTCACCGGGACGAAATTTATATCGCGCCGGGATCACCCACCGATCCAATTACAGCCTCGAGACACGATGGCTGTACGGCCGGTTTGCCCGCTCCCCTCCTTCTTCTTAATGTTATGATTGTCATTTCTTCCGAAACTCGAGTACCCGTGTCTCCGGTTGCTACTGAAATTAATTACATTTTTTTCAGATCGAAAGAAAAAAATAACCGCTCGTACTCGCCCAAACCCTCGTTCGTCGCGCCACAAGAGCGGCCTCAAACAATCTCTCGTGGGACAAGAGCCACCGTCACCACGTGCACGTATATACACACATACGATGAAATCGTCGCGCGCCAAAGCGCAAAATTAATGCGTTTAGAGCGAGTTTCACGACTCGACTGCCTCACAAAGCTTGCGCGTAATCGGCGCGCGTCAATAAGTCCCTCGTCGCGTGCGTCTGGTCTACGCACACACGCGCGTCCCTCCACCCCTGCCAGTGTTTGCGCGACGGTAAACGATTTCCGCTCTCCCGAGCGTCTATAACGCTTCCTCCCGATTGTCGGGGAAAGAATGGGTCCTCGGGAAGAAAACGCGCCCGCGGGGGACTTTCGTTCGAAGCGCGGGAGCAAATAAGGATGACCCCCTCCCTCGTCCCATTGTCGCGGTTTGGGTGTGCGTGTAAGTGCCGGGATGCGTTTTCAGGGAGGCCCCTGGTGTAAACAGCGATGCTTTTTGTCGTTGGATATTCGTACTCTGCCGAAGAAGGTGCGATTTCGCATATGGTTTCGTTTGCTCGTTTCGTAGATTACATCTTTTCTTTTCTTTTTTTCAAGAGTATATGTGGGAACAAAAAAAAAAAAACACAGATTGGGGCCGTGTGTGCAGAGATAATTTCAACAGTGTCATTCGTGGGTTGTTTTTAGAACAATATTTTTCAAGCCATCCGAACCAAGTGGACAGTCAGTTTTGAGAATTGTACAAATCATGTTTTGGCTTCGTCTCCGGTCGGTTGGCCATTTCATTCAGTCGAGCGTCTGAGGATGTGCACGTGGAAAATGTGCCAAATTAAATGATTCAATGACCGGATGTGCGGAAGACTGTATATGATTTGATGATCGGCTTGAATGTTGATTTACTTGAACTCGAGTTTAACGCTCCGATAAGATAATCATGTAAATATCCGGGCTTTGTGTGGTTGGAAAAGTAAATTGTTCAATACAGGGATGAACTAGTGAATTTTTCCAACAAATAAACACAATCAAATGAAGATCAATATATCTCGAGCGATCGGAAAATCATACATTTCCCGCGAACAAAAAAAAAAAAAAAACAGACACGCGGACAAAGAGTCTCTAGGCGACGAAGGAATCATTAATCTTGTCGGGGATAACGACGAAAACGTGATTGAACGTAACGAGGCTGCAGGTCACGTGCCGAGGATTCCTTGCTGGTGTTTTCCTTCTCTCTCTCCTTTTCTCAAATTGACGCGCAAGGAAAGTATAATCTCGTCAAAGGGAAAGAGCCAATTATCACACTTTATCCCGTTCGACGGGCTCTTAAGCACAAGAAAACCGTCGATAAAGTCTCATTGACTTTTTGGTACAGAAAATCAAGCTTTGAGAATAAATTTTCATAAGCAAAAATTAATTAAACACACACTGTTATCTTATAACCAACAGCTACAACTGGCCGTATTCGGTAAACATTGTAAGCCAACTTCTACGAAAAAAAAAAAAAAAAAAAAAAAGTACATACACGTTGACGCAAAAGTTGATTCGATACAACGACAAAAGTCCGTAGTTGACGAGGCAATTTCTAAAATCCAATAGCCAATTAGGCAGTCGAACAGATTAATCGTCCAAACACATAGAAACTAAACTCGGGCCTAAATCCCTCTATCGGGGGCGCTCAGATTGTTTTTTAATGCGATTACCAGCGAGGAATGTTCCAAGAGTGCTTTCGAATCGAGCGAGCGTCGTGGGGTGAAGGACCCATTGTACCCGTGCGATCAGGAAGGCGGTGGTGGTGGGGGGGGTTGGGGGTGGTCGAAAGTGCGACACTACAAACGAGACAGAAAATTGCGTTGACGAGGAGAAGGAGGAGGAGGAGGACACCGAAGGATTTAGCGTTCGTGGGAGAGTGGAACTATCGTTGGGCTCCCGTTGGGGGTTGCGCAAAAGTGCAATGGTGCAAGTAATGGAAGTGCCACGGGTATTATGTTAAACGCCCGGGAGAAGTTTCGAGCCTGATGGAGCCGACGCGACTTGGGACGCGCTTTTAAAAAAAGGGCTTTGATCTGCCAGGATTTTCATTTAGCTTTTACTTTGGGTTGAATCAGGGTGCCGCTCATGAGGGACACTTTTTTGCGTTTCTGTCACCCGTGACGTGTATTTTTGGCTTTTTTTTTTTTTTTTTTCTTCATAAAATGGCTCTTTTGAAGGATTGACAAAATAAATAAAATAAATAAAAGGGCACAAGGTACGACGTGAGACTTTTTTTGTGTTTATTGTCATATCAAATAGAAAAAAAAAAACCATCGTCTCCGTAAACAATTAACTTTGCCCTTTTGAAAATACCATTACTTCCAGCATCGATCAATTGCCTTTCATCCAAACGAGCATCAGTTTGCGAGTATATATTGTCAAACGAGTCGACCAAATCATCGATCAAATAGCCAATTCCCTGCATTATTTAATTGTACCTGCAAAGTGTCAATCAGCATCGAGTCGAATCAATAGTAATCCGCGTGCACTCCCACACCCAATTAAACGATAAACAATGAAAACGTTAAAACACCGACACTCGCTGTACTTGTATAACTACAGTACACGCGTAACGCGAAACTCGCAACGACGCCAATTTTCGTAAAATAGAGATGCTTTATGGTACAGTTAAAGACAAACGCGTTTGCAATTGCGAAAAAAAAAAAAAAAAATTATGCAAAGTACCACCCAGCGATCGCTCACTCCCCTCGGACGCCACAATGGTTGTCAACAAATTAATTTACTAGAAACAAAAGTGCGCGCCAGACGCAGGTCCAACAACGCATATACCACGACACCATACATACACATCAACATACGCAGAAACACACAGATGAGCGAATCGACTTGACGCCACGGTGTTGGCGGAGCAGGGGGTGTGCGGAGGAAAGTCATTGTAATGCAGAGAGCCAATTTTCTGGGCGGCTTGGCGCGACGCGACTCCGATGTGCCGTGCGATTATCATAACAACCAAAGCTAGCCCGGCTCTCTCTCTCTCTCTCTGTGTTATTCCGTCGGATTTCGATTATGTGTGTGTGTGTGTATAGGTAACTCTTGTGCGTAAATGTACGCGTGCGTGCAGTTAACGATGATGTATACCTATACGTGGGATCGGAGCCGAAACTCGAAATGGATTTTCTCTCTCGACCCCTGATGCAGTTTTAATAGGGAAGCGCTGCGGCCGACCGATATGATTGATGGCTCATAGCACGCGGAATTCCTGATATGTATAATATGTTCTCGCCTCCCTGTACGCCAAGGATATGGATGTACGTTTTTTTTTTTTTTTTGTTTTTTTTCTTTTCTTTTTTTCAGTGCACCTATATTTTTCCCTTACGTATACACCCTCGGAGCGTGAGATAATTTCGGCAAGGGTGATTTCGAGCACTTCGGGCATGGAGCTCCGAGTTTTTTAAGGACCCCGTGTACCGATCGGAACTTTATTTTTTACTTTTGCTCGGCGTTTCGCGCGAGCATGTAAGAAGAACCGTGCTTTCATCAATTACGAGTGCGATCGGCCAATCAGTCGACGAATCGGCACGGAAAACGGAGCGATCGAGTGCACAGAGTCCCTCGGCGCGCTAAACGACGAAATAATAGCCGATCGTCCGTGTATAAATGATGGGTGTGCGTGTCTCTAGGTATAGGAGCTTTGGTGGAGCTGATGGAGGGAAGGACAACTATTGTGTTATTACGTAAGTGTGGACCAAGACGAGGATAAGGGGCTGCTGGGCGCAGATTGGACCGATGATTCGTCACGCTTTGACAGCTCTCTTCTGTATACGTCTTATCTCGTGCTTGTGGCTGTAATTATTTTTACCCAACTTGATTGTTTTATTTGCTTTTGGACTTGTATTAGTGCCTTTTTTCCGAATGAGATTCCCAAGGTACTTCGAAGGGAAGATGTGGATTAAAATAAACGCCCATTGTGTTTTCATTTTACTGTTTTTTGGAAAAAATTGTTGGATTATTGTTGATTTATTGCATCTCGATGATTTCGATACTTCGATTAAAAAAGGCACTATCTTTGGTTCTCAGTTTTCGATACATATTATCTTTACTTTTGCGGCAAAGGTGCTATTGTTATTTTTATAATAAAAGTGTACCATCAAAAGAAAATTCTCTTGGTTCAATTTGATTCAACAAAATTTCTTACCAATGCCTCAACTTTTTTTTATGAGGAAAAAAAAAAAATTACTTTTAAATCTGAAATAGTACCTTTTTTTCAAAAAAACTCAGAGCTGTACCTTATACATTTTGAAAAAGACAAGATGTATTAATTTTTAATAATCAAATTTATACGTGGGTGTGATTGTTACAAAAACATATTAAATGACAATAAAACAAAAATAAATACCGTTTGAAAAATCTCACTCTGCCGGTGTATACTCCAGCAACTGCGAGCCAAATCAAACAAAGGGACGCGACAGCCACTGGTTGAAAAATAATTTCGAAAAAGCCCCAAACAGTAGCCTAATTTACCCAACCCATTACTGCGATCGCCCGGCTCTTCCAAGCACGCTCACGCACGCCAATTAAAAAATTCTTGGCCCAAAAAAAAATTTTCGAAACCACCGAAGCTATTTCTCGAAGCTCGCAAATTAGTCCGAAAATCAGGGGTACCTCAACGTTGTATATATACACAATCGCAAAGACACGACTCCCCATCTCTCTATGTATATAAGCCTCCATTACACCCACTCTCAAAACAAATACGCAAAACTTCAAAGAGCGCCTCTGCACGGCGGCCGTATAAATTAATTGAGATAATGAAACGGCGCACTTTGCAAAACCGCACCCTCCAATTCACCGATTTTGCGAGCGCGAAAATACTACTAAGCGTATCACTCGTTTTTCTTTTTCCTTCCTAGCAACGCGTAGCGAGAAATCGTCCTCTCGCCTAAACATAGACGACGGACGCATGACGCGCCTAATTGTTTGAAATTTCTCGGGCCGAACTATTAAAAGAATCATTAAAGAGATTCCGTTTAGCGAGCTTCCGAGACATTTATGCCGCTTGGTTCCACGGAGCCGAGTTTCTAAATCCATATCGTGTTGGCTAACGATTACGAAATCGGCCAATGAAGCGTCTATTTTTAAGTATGGCCATTGATTGCCGAAAAAGAAAATTCAACATTTTAAAGTATTACCAAAGTCAGATGACCAAAAGTACCGAAATTTCAATTGACCACAGAGTGCCATTTGTTGTTGAAAAACACGAGGTTGCGATCTAACTCGAAATCAATCGGTGCAGCTGTTTGTAAATGAATGTGTTTTCTAAAAAGTGGGTAAAAAAGCAAGCTCCACTCGTCAAAAAACGGAACTAAGGCTCAACGCGCCTAATTGCCCCGGTAAGTCGAGCTTTTTGTTTTCCCAGCATCATAGCTCCGAGACACCATCACCGTCATTAAGACGTTTTCTCAGTTGAACGCCAGTGTCCCTCAGAGTCCAGCGCACACTCGTTCTGTTTTTAGCTCCTTTGCTCACACGTATACACGAGCAAAGGCGAATGAGAAGAAGCAGAGAGAGAGAGGAGGACGATTAGGCGTTATCATCGTCACGCGCTCGCGCGAAGTGATATCTGTCCTCGCACCCCCGCCAGTTATTTGTGCGGAGGAAGTATAAATTCGCGGCGCTATTTGTCTCGGTTCTAAGTGGTGTCACTATACTGCTACTAATTCGAAGAACTGCCTTTTTGGCATCGACGCTGGTGTTGCAGAGGGGGGCGTTGCTGCCAGTTGAAAATATACCTAAAATCCGTGACGAAGGATTACTTTATTTCTTCTTTTTTTCCAAGGTATTACATTTATAGATTTGAAAATTTCGAGGTAATAGCGCCGAGCTATTAGTTGCTGTGTTTGCCGGGGCGTGGATTAATGGTACGTGCACCTCGAGAACAATGGCCATTTTGTTTAGCGGGACTTTTCACTTGGCAGTTTGTGCAATCTTTTGACGGCTCACTTGGATCCTCTTTCACTGGCCTCTAATGGGTTTTTAAATATTTTGCAACGAACTCGAGCTCACGAAAAGTTGTTGCCAATTCGATTTTAGAAATAGTCGTCTTGCTCCACTTTGAGAGGATATGTATGTATTTATTTTTAACGTTTAATGTTTGGGAGTAGGTCCAAAATTTTGTCAAGACTTTCTTAGATTTTGGAAGACTTGTAACCCATCAGAAGTCTTGTGTAAATTTTTAGAGACTGTTAACATGGCTATAAATGAGTCTTTTCGAGACTTTTGCAGTTTTTTTCAATGACCTGAAGATTGTTTCCCTTTATCGATTGTTGTAGAAAAAAAACTCAAGCCGCTGTACAAAAAGCACTAGTAGCCCAAAAAAAAAAAAAAAAAGAGCAAGGCTCCACTAAATTTTTACCAACCAAGCAGTCCTTGGTTTTTTTTCGAAGCCCCGCAATCTCATTAATTACCCCGGCAGCCCCCCATCCCAGGCGCGCAAACAAAACACCACCCGCTCTCTCGTCGGTATCATCACTTCTCAAAGCAGCCCAACATCCTTCACCGCTCGAAAGCCAACTCTCTTCAACGTTAAAACCATCGTCGCGCGGTACAGAGGAAGGAAGGAAGGGGTGGGGTGGGGTAAAGAAAACACAAAACGCAAAAGACGGCTTTCGTCGAGCGAATTACCTAAACCCGAGCTTCCTCGGGTACAGTCCTCTTGTCAAAACACCCACGTGTGCGGGGGGGTTACATGTGTGTGCGCGCGTGTATGGGGTCGACGACAGCCGGTCAGCGACGTGAAAATTAACGTCGCGTTGGTACCGCGCACCACTGTAAGATTAATTGTAGCGCCACCCCAACCCCCGGGCCTATCGTAACCGGAGGGATGTTGAGCAACGCGTTTTAGGTGACATTGTTTCCGATCAAGAATCGGTGATAGTTTAACGTAAGCCCCAAATAATACGCGATGCTCCAATATTTTTTCCGAGTACACCCGAACCGGTGTTTAAATAAATTAAGCTCGAGCCCCACTCGCGACCCGACGGCAGTTACCGCTCCACACGTGGATGGATGGCCAAGCTGGCAAAAAAATCTCAACGAATAGGCCACAATTAGCGCGAGTACGGAAAAAAGACGGGGGCACCTCGGGGAAAATCGCTCGTTGGCTCGGCCAAGGGAACGTCTACATCACTGCGGCTGTCATCCTTTTCAACTCGCCGTCGTCGCACTTTATGGTACATCACAAGCTCGCGCGGCAAATATATCTCGCGAGAGAGGCCGACGGAGCTGCCAGAGATCCTTTGCACCCGTGGGCTGCGCTTCTAAATTTAGAAACGAGGAAACGTGCCCAAAACGCCCCCCTTCCTTCCTTCCTTCCTTTCTTTTTTTGCGAATCTTTATATGTTCTCGCCTTTCGGTCCAGCTGTTTGGTCGTACGCTACAGGGACGTGGATTTCTTTTTCTTCCTCTTTTCCCTTTAATTGATTTTAGATGTCAGCGCGTGGTTAAGCTCGCGGCACGTGATCCCGATTATTGGATTGGCTTACCCGTCCGACCCTCGACCAAGTAGATGAAAGACAAGAAAAAAAAAAAAAAAAAAAAAGTTCTCTCAAAGCCACTGCACAGTCATCCTGTGATTACCCTCGTGAAAGCTGCCGCTGTGCCTCCTCTTTCGGTGGGCGAGTCTGCCAGGTAGGTGAACCCTGCCCCCGGTGAACTTGTTCGGGTCGAGTATGTTCTCCACCGAGAAGGCCAATCCGCGCTTGTTCCCCTGCACCGAGTTCGTCGTCGTCGTGGCCACTATGCCCCCCGAGTTGGCCAGGCTCGACGGCCCGTGCGGATGGGCGACCCCGCCGTTGCTGCCCCCGATCATCAGAGGTGAGTGGCACCCGGTGCCGTTCGTCAAGCCACCACTACCCGACGACCTCGGGGGCTGCTGTTGCTCCGGCCCGCATCGCCCCGACGTGGCAGTCAAGTCGACGGGGCTGCTCGGGTTGCTCTCGCCCTCATCGTCCTCCCGGCAAACGTCCACCTCGATCTCGTCCTCCACCTCTGCCCTCCGTCGCCCCGGCTCGTGGTGCTCCTCGTCCTCCTCCTCGGCGTCCTCGTCCACCCGCCTCCCCTTGGACGCTCCCTCGTCCTCGCTGTCCTCCTCGACTCGCACCCCCCCGTTAGTCACAACCTCGGCAGTAGTGGTAGTCCCGTTGCCGAGCGTCGGGCGGTGCCTCGGTGGGTGCTCGTATCTACCAAAGGGCTCGGCCGGCCTCACTCGCGGCACCACGTGCTGGACGAGGCGCGTCTCGGCCGCCACGTCGCCCACAGCCGGCGACATCGTCCTCAGAGCTCTCGTCTCCTGCATCCCCTTGGGCGCGAGTGTACGACAAACGAACGAACAAACTACTCGAGGCTGCACCCGCGGTTCCTTACACTGGCTCCTGTCATCGCGGGGGGAGCTTATGTATACCTATTGTGCACGTGTCTACCGGCGACTGTCGCCGTTTCACGGTCGCGTCGCTATCACCACCAATGCCATTCCGACCAATTGTACTCAATGATACACGATTGGGCACTTATTGTCACTCAACGTTCGGCACTTTGCTCGAGTCGGTGGAAAAAGCGCGAACCGGTGTCCGTCGAGGAGACGAGCGGCGGCGAGCACCGGCCCGAGATCAACAACATCGCCAGCTAGTCTCCGAGGCCAAGCGATCGGAACACGCGCGCGCGAGGGTGGAAAGGGGGGGGGGAAATTACAGCGTGCAGGGACAAAGGAGGAAGAGAGGGTGGGAGGCCAAGGAGGTTTTGGGTGGTGCTGGCCCCCGGAGAAAGGATAGCCAGCCGGTGCTGGTGCTTAGGTTCTTGTTCCGCGGGCGACTACGAGCACCAGTGTTTACGCGGAGGGAAGCACTGCACCCACACACGGTAAAGGTGGGGGTGGGGGTTGTTGCGCGCGCGGCATCGCGCTCCTCGTCCAACGGGGCGCTCGGGTCTACGCCTCGGCTTGGGCGTGGCCAGCAAGCTCGACGGGAAAGCTCGGCCAATCAACCAACGAGGCTTTTAAGGGGGGGAGCAGATATCGTTCTCCGTGTATTTATATAGGTACGGACGCGTGATGTGTATAGCCGAGAGATACGCGGGCGAGCTTACGGTAGTTAGCTGGCTTTGGAGGAGGCATTAGGCGGCACAGGCGCGGCCGAGGGCTAAAGGCGGGGGACGTTTAAATTTTGCTGGCTGGATTGTGGGTCGACGCTCAGAGATTCTGCAATGCAGCACCGCGGGCACCTGCGTTAAATGAGTCGCGGTACTTTGCGCCCCTTAACATTTTAGAGCCTCCGCTCTTTGTAGGGATGGCGATGGCTAATTAATGCCCCACGAGGTGGAGAGACGGGAATCTATTATCAATTGATACCTCCTTTTTGAGCTCTTGAGCTTACAGGTGACAGAGTATTGGTAAGACTATGACCACGAACATCTCTCACTCTAACCTTGCTCCATGTATCCATGTCGATTAGCGATCAAACCTCGCGAAATGAGCTGGTCGGTCGCTGTAAAAGTACACCCCCTAAAAGCTTTAGCTCTCATTCGCGAGAGAGGAGGTCATCCGCGTCGTACAGAGCTATCCCACAGGGACTTTCATCCCTCTCTCTCTCTCTCCCTTTGACTCGTCAAAACACACACACGGAATGGAGCACAGAAAGAGGGACCGATAGCGCAAGAAGGGGCGTCGATACCCACCGCGAGGAGGGGGTAGGGTCCAGAAAAGGAGGAGGGGGAAGGCTCTTCATCCCTCCGATCTGTTGCCATGTATAGCCCCCCCCCCCTTCACGCTATCGTCGGCTAAAGTGGTTTGTCTTTGATTTGTCCGCCTTGCCGTGTACACACCGTAAGAGTACACACACATACACACACAGGTGCACGTGTACCTGTACGGCGTACCGTTTACGCGGGTGGATGTATAAGGGTACGTCTTGGGGGGGTGGGGCGCTATGCACGAGGCACCTTGTTATGCAGCTTGTTGACTCGAGGCTGTGTTCTCTCTGTACAGGTGGATGAATGTAGGTGTATCGACGACGACGTCAGACTCCGATGATGTTGACGCTCGGGTGGTATCTGACGTCCACGCGTGTGTGTGTTATACACTGGGGGGGTGCTCACCTGCGACGAGAGCGGTTGTCTCCTCTCGAGGGCTGGCTCGAGATTACGGTCTCGGGACCTCGTACGGATCGATCTTGGAAGATCGGCTGCATTTTGAGATCCGAATACATCACACCGCCCTCCCCCACTGCGTCATAAATGCGCTGACACAATGGCAAAGCACCACCGAGTCAAACGACGTCCTCGTACGGCTCCATCGCGAGTTTAAAAAAATGGACGAATAAATCGGATCAATCTCATGGCTACACGAACACACAGGGTCGCAGCTCGCATTGGCAAGACGATTTCGATATGACTCGTTCGCGCTGCATCTGTGGGTGATACGCCGTGAGAAAACAACTCGATGTACCGATTATACGGGGAGCAAAAACACAGGTATATACGTATATGCATGGGATCTCGTGGCGGAAAGGGCTGGTAGATGGGAAAATCGGGGCTGTTTGCACCCACAAGGGGGGTAGGGTGGGGGAGGGCGCTCTTAACTCCCGGCAAACGCGCGGATATTGTTTACCCGACCATTTAGGTAATTGCCGGCCTATGCCACTGTGTACACACATACATATATACGTATATACATCCACGGGTGGGTGCAGTAGCCGTTTCGATCCGCTATTCGACGGCCAATCGAAAAACTGCGAGCTTTCGACAACGACCTCCCCCCCCTCTTTTTTCGTTTTTTCCATCCGACAAGCTTTTCGAATCCAGTCGGATTGAACTTTTGGTCGTGCCATGCCTGTATATTTGTACGCTCGACTGCAGGTATACTCCGAAGCGGGGGCCGATCGATGACGAAAAGCTCCAACGAATAAGCACCTTGAAAATGAGAGATGCAGCTTTTTACCCCTCCATCGTAATGTATTGGTATACGTACGCGCTTCGTATATATTGTATACACTTCGCAGTGCTGGTGCATTTTCCATAATACGCGTCGTCAGCGCTCTGTCTGCGCATTTGCATTTCAAAACGGCAACAATGGCAGAAGAGGTAGGGAGGAAGGGCTTACAGAGTACCAGTGAACAAGAGACGCGGAAAGAGGAGTCGGTGGTACTTGATGCTAATTATCGCCGTTCCTTTTTTGACAAATTAAAGTGCCATCGTCTACGTGCTGCTGAAACAAAAAAAAAAAAAGCTTCACTTACCTGAATGATATCGAGTATATATACTTACCCTCGCTCAAATGCGCGAACAGAGCAAATCCCGACTTTCCCCGGAAAAAAGAGCGCTGCGGTCTGCACTGGTTAGGTGTATGGATGATATATCTATGTGCGTCAGTATGTAAAGGTGGCGAAAATCCGCGCGCATGCCCACCGACGGGAAGGGGGTCGTAACAACACGCGAAAATCAGCGCAAGCAGAGCCAAAAGCCGCGGGTGGGAGGTGGACTGGTAATTGTGATTTTAATACGGTTGGGTCCCCACGAGATCGCTAATGGGGTAATTGAGATAATCTCGATTTTCTGCACAGGCTGGCAAGTATATATACCTACATTACGCAGAACTGTGCGATACAGTGAATTGTGTATGATGGGGTTTGGAATATTTTTTTTTTTCGCAATTTCGGCTGTCGATAAGATTTTCACACAACGTTCTTACAATTTTGTGCATGACATCTCATTACTTTCAATTAAATAGAGCACGTCGATTTTTTTTTTGTTTCTTCTTTTTCGTCAACGTTATTAATTACGAAATGACGTTATTGTATGCACAGCCTTTAATTTTCGCGATTCGGATGAAACTTTATTCGCTCGTGCAGTCGTGAAATTATCAATCCTTTCCCAACGTGAAAAAATTAACGAGCAAAATATACATTGTATTCGTCGAATTGAAAAAAAAAAAAGAGAGAGAGGAAGAGTGCGTGAGCTTGCAATCACTGCCCGAGAGGTAAAGCTTCGGCTCACCGATCAGTAATACAGAATACGGGAAAAGGTGCACGGGGGGGGGGGGGTGGCGATCACTGCGGTGCGTATCCAATTACACCGATTACTCAATGTTTACCAGCCGGTTTGCCGTGAGATAGGGGGGTTTGGAGCGTTAAACAATTGGCAGGAGAGATCGAGGGACAGCGTGGAAATTCATTGGCGCGCCCACGTTAACTGGGATAATTTATTAAGCGCACCTGGCTAGTGAAGCGGGACTGACCGCTTACAGTCCGACAGGTCGATCGATCCGCTCGCGCGTACAAGGGTAAATGCGCTTTTTCGTTTGTTGTTGTTTAGCGGAGTTTTGTTGAGCCAATGAGGCTACATGGAATAGTTTGCAGTGTGCGTTCCTTATAGTTATTTATATTGAAAATCAATCGAACAATATTCATTAATATATTTGCGCATGTTAAAAAAAAGATTAGTGTCGCCTATAATCCCTAACGCTTCGTTTTTCAGTTTGCAAGAGATGTACAAACCCTCACCTGTAAATTCATTAAAACTATGGTTTAGGTTCTTTTTTAGTATTTCTACCTCTCAGGGGGACGAAAAGAATATAAAACGGTAAATAACGGTAAAATAGACACTTTCTGTCATGTTTCATGAATAAACAGCAGACATTTATCTCGTCACTTGTTCCCAACTGTCAGTCCGAAACAAAGACCCCATCATCATAAAGACAAGTAGTATATATACAAAGAGCCGAGAAGTGTGTGTACATTTTCCAACCATCTGATTCGTGCGATATCGTTCATATGCCATATACGTACGCAAGTGCGAGTAAGCATCTCCGGGCGACATTAACACGTATTTAAAACTTTTTTTTTTCCCCCGCACCGACTCAATTTTCCACCCTTTATTGCTACATTACGCCCAACTCGCCGCATACGCATAAAGTCCCCTACACCCCGCTCGTCTGAAACTTTAATGCCACCCCGCTCGTACATGAGTATATACACGCACGAGGAAAAATAAAGTTATTCGTCACGGTACCGGCCTCCGCATTACGCGCGCCTCCCCTTCTCGGTATCCATCCTACATGAAAAAAGGAGGGGTGGGAAATCGACGTCGATTACTTCGCCTTTAAATTACAGCGCCCGGCGCCGTGGCGGAACGAAACCGATTTCTACCCCTATGGTCCAGTTATGATGCCTTTACCCTTTGTTTTTTTTTTTTGTTTTTTTTTTTTCATTCGGGCACGAGTCAGAGCACGGACGCTGAGACTTTTTTTCCCTCCGACGCGTGGGTTTTCGAGTGCAATCG